AGGACTTTAGTAGTTGAAAGTTTGCAACTTATTAATAACTACAGGTAACCCTCCAGTTACAAAAGCAATTGGGACTAGAATTTCTGAAACTGAGCGATGCCATAAATGATTGTAAAGTTTGATGGTTGTAAAGTCTGTGTATTTATCAAGAGCAATCCTTATACTTTTGACTGCCATTGTAATCCTCAAATTGTGCAGGTTACTAAATGGGAAGAGGTAGGAGTCCCGGACAAGGAGCGAGGGGGTAAATGTGGGTGCTGTGGTGGGGTCTTGCAGGTAGGCATGCACTATGGAGCTCAAGGGATGCTGTGGGCAGGTGCTAGGGACAAACATGTCAAACTCGCGACATCGCGCATCGTATCGGAGCTTTTTCCCTATTGCCGGCAATGGGGTGGGCGTGGTTTCCCGGTGACGCATCTGGCCCACGGGCCGGCAGTTTGACTGGGTAGGGCTTCAGGTGGGTGCTAGGCAGTACGGGCTGGCGAGGGGGCACTGAAGGCAGGCACACACGAAGGAGTGCAGATGAGCACTTACAAATGCAGATCGGCAGGAGTTGTTACAGAGTACAAAGTTCCTGAGATCTTATTTACTGTAGCGAGTCTCCTCAGGAGAAAAAGTGATGAAAGCAACGTGCAACCTTCCTTGCTGGCTTCCCTATTGATGTTGTTTGTGGGAAACTGGCAGGGAAAGTTGCAAATGGTGACCAGGTGACCGAGGGATACTGAAACCTGTCAAAAATGGGGACCAGTTGCCAGGCACCCAAATCATGAGCTCACGGCCATGGGATAATACAACAGATGGAATTTTAAGGATTGGTAATAAGCACCACTTGTTCGATGCTGTTGTAACTTTGAACGATTGGTGAACAAGTGGCTGTAACCCGAGGACTGCCTGTAATATGTTTGCTTTGAGGAGCATTGTGAAAAAAACTTGATTATGCAATTAATTTGTCATGTATTTCCTGTGTGTTGTAGAATTCTAGGTTTGCTTAAAATTAGTCTTGGAACTAATAAAAATACTTGTGGTACTATTGAGTCAGGTCCTTTTTTTTTCTTCTGATGGCTTTGTTCTTTCTGAGAGAAAAAATCTGGTCATCAATCCAGATGGCTACTCTTCTGCAGTGTAAACATGCTTAATAAATGTTTAAAGATTTAGGTTTCTTTCATTTCTGTTTGAATAATATGAATAAAATAGTACATTTGTTTTATGAACCAGTTTATCCCTTACTGGGTTAATTCTTTGTCTAATTCAGTGTTTCTCAACCTTGACAATTTTAAGGCATGTGGACTTCAACTCCCAGAATTCCACAGCCAGCATTGCTGGCTGTGGAATTCTGGGAGTTGAAGTCCACATGCCTTAAAATTGTCAAGGTTGAGAAACACTGGTCTAATTATCTAAGAGGAAACTACCTGATTGGACTTATTTCCGTATTACATGTACAGGAGAGCATTGTAAATCACCGACCGTAGGGAGAGACAAATTAAGTGGAATTCCTGGGCCTCTTATTTATTTTCAGAATATATATCTCCCACTCAGTTTTTCCCTACTTTATGTTCAAATATTAGATTTTAGAATGTAGCATGAAACATTTTAACACCACATCACTTCAGTTACTGACTTCTAGCTTTATATTTTTCAGATGTTCAGTTGTTTATATCTTTTTGTGTTGTATTACAATTTTATTGTGATTTATAAGCAAATTAGGTGATTTATAATTTCATTCAAATTGTAATTGGGCCTTTGCTCAACTTCCTGTTGCTTGCCATCTATGCCCTTTCCTGGAAAGGGAGGCTGTTTGCTCCATGACTCATTCCCCGGTCACCTTCTGTCTGGACTATTCTAATGTGCTCTTCATGGGTCTACCTTTGAAACATATCCAGAAACTTCAGCTGGTACAGAATGCAGCCAACACAAGCAATCTTGGGCATCCCAAGGACGATGCATGTAACACCTCTGCTGCATGAGCTACATTTGTTTCTGGCTGCAATTCAAAGTGTTGACTATGACTTTTAAAGCCCTATGTGGCATGGAGCCAGATTACCATCTTTGCCCCATTACATTGGCTTGTCCCATTTGGTGAGCAGGAAAGATATGTTGCAGTCCTTTCCTTCCCCCGCTTAAAAAAAATTGCCTGGCAGAGTCTAGGAAGGAGCCTTGTCTGCCCACGCCCCCACCCTTTGGAACATTATTTCCCCCCCCCCATGGATCCACCCCCAGCCCTCTTCAGATGCGCGTTCAGAGGAGGAGGGTGAGTTTGAGTCTGCAGAGGAAAATTTGGAGCTGAGTATAGTCAGGATTGGGGTTCAGAGAATGTTAGCCTGATGGTGCAGCCTCCGTTGGGTCCATCGGAGGAGTGAGAGGCTGAGCGAGGCGAGCCATAGCTGCAGCAAGTTGGCCAGGAGGCTCCAGGGGAGGACAGGGAGCAGCTGCCACCCATCAGCAATGAGGAAGAGTCCACACCACCTCCTGATCCAAGGACACGTAGAGCAGAGAGGATATAGGCACAATGCCAGTCAGCTAGACTACTCACGAGGAGGCAACCTTGCCTCTTATGAAGGGCTATACTTGGCATTGCCTACTTAACCCTGCCCTGAAGACTTGAGTGTTGCTGGAGCAATGTGCCCAATTCTGTGCCTTCTGGTCTGGTTGACTCTTGGACTGCTTTCCTGGACTCTGTCTTCCAGGGACTCTTATCCTATTGTGCAACAGGAGTGCTTTCTGAGGACCTGTTTGGGGGGGGGATTGGAATAAACACCCGTAGAACTCTTGTCATATGTGGGGGGAGCAGAGCAGCACACCCCCAGAGGTAAGGCAGGCCCCCACTTTCTTGGCTTTGGAAGTGTTTGAAGACCTTGCTCTGTCTACTTGCTGTCTACAGAGGAGCAGGCAGTCATGAGGCTGGTTAGTGCCTTGAGGGCCCACCCCCACCTTTTTAATGTTTAATTTTAATTATTCTTGTTTTAATTGTCTACTAATATAAAATGTATATATAATGTTTATGTTTTTATCTCTTGTACACTGTCCATAGTCATTTTGTGAGGGAGATGGGTGATTTCTAAATGTAATGTGCAGTATAATTCAGTTAATAGAAGATGCAGACATATGTTTATTATTGAAGCATTCTTTTGAAAATATATGAGCAAGTAATAAAGTTCATACTTTTCCAGAGTTATTCTATAGTGCTCAAAGAAAGATGGTACTGTATTTAATATTTTCCATTCCATTTCTTTTTAATGCCTCAGAACCAAAATGGCTTTGAATGTTCTTAATTAAATCTAAAGATAATTTTATTTGGTGAGTAAGGATTGGTGTCCTAATTTTATTTTTTAAATTCCTTTTGTCTGGGTTTGCCATTAGGTAGAAGAAAGGGCTTCCTCCATTTGTGGAAGAGCCTGGAATTTTTTATATTCACTACAAGTTGGAAAAACGTTTCAGAAGCAGAGACATTGGTACAGGTGAATCAGTGACAATTGTCTTGTCTCCCCTTTTAGCAGTTACAGGCCAAATATGATTAGATGTATATTTTACACAAATATAATGCTTCTGTAATAGTTATATAATGAACAATTATGCATGGAGATATCAAAACTTCCTTTTCAATTCCAATTTAGAGAAAGAAAAGCTTTTTCAGCAGTATTCCTATAGTACAGTGGTGGCGAACCTATGGCACAGGTGCCAGAGGCGGCACTCGAAGCCCTTTCTGTGGGAACACGTGCTGTTGCCCCAGCCTCGCCTTCCCCTGTGACCCCCTCCTCTCCAGCAGCCCTCCTGAAGAAGAGTTGCCCCTGAGCGTGGCCCACACAGAGCAGCGGAGCCAAGGACATGGCAGCCAGGCAGCGTAGACAAGACTCTGCCCTCACACCCCATCGTGCACAGTTGATGCTGCAGGGCGCGGGCAGAGGGCATGACCGCCATAACGCTGCTGGGCTGCCTGGGCGATCTGCAGTGGGCCCTGGAGGCGGTGAGTGGCCCTGCGGGCAGGCGGGGTGGGAGATGGGGGGCGGAGTGAGGGCGGGGCAGGGGGTGGAGCAGAGGCGGGGCCAATTTTGGGGCACTCGGTCTCTAAAAGGTTCACCATCACTGCTGTAGTATAAAGATAATACAGAAAGGTAGGGAAAAAGAAAAAAAGTGGAAACATTTGTTATATAAGAGAGTAAGAAAATTATCTGGAAATTGTTGATATGCAAGAGAGTGAAAACTAACATTTGATGCCTTACTGGTAGTTTTTCAGAAGGAAAATACTATACAGTACATACTTGATGTAAACTCACTGGCTGATTTTATTCATTTTCTTAGTCCAACCTATTTCATAGGGATGTTGGGAAAAATGGGAGAGATTGTTAGGTATGCCAGCTTCCGGCTTCCAGCTTCCAGGAAAGCAGGGCGTAAAGTACATAGTAGCCAAAGAAAAGCTGTTCATTAATAGCCTAGCAAAGGTACTTGGCGTATAGAAAAGTGTAATATACCTTAAATTAGAAATCTCGTTCAGTGTGGACAAGCATAAAGAAAGTTTAAATCCTGAGGTCTCCTGACCTAATAATGTGATCTCAATTTTTCTACCTCTTTGTAGAATCAATACAAATTATGGTACTAATTATATCTAACTCAGATATTAATGTTTAATTGCAAATGGATATTACTGTGTGAGTTTGTAAATAAAGGTAGTAAGAGAAGATGCTTGTAAATTTAGCCTTTTTACTGTTTAATACATCTGTTTAGTTAATTTATGGATACACATACATGCGTGCAAACCTCAATATACTGTAATTGTAGTAAGTGGATTTTGTATGTATCACAGACCCAATTTAAGAACATTCCTGTAAAATTCTCAGGTCTCCCAATCCCAAAAAAATGGAAGAGAATATTTCTTCATTGGTATTTAGTTTATTTTTGTTGAATCAGAAGACAACAGAATTTTTTATCTGTGTACTTGTGTATTTGTGTACTTATTCTTGTAATGCATTTACAAAAAATTCAGCTATACATTTTTCCCCCTTCAGGGTTATACATCATTTTGGAATGATTGCATTTCATCTGGGCTTCGTGGTTGCATGTTAATTGAATTGGCACTGAGGGGGCGTCTTCAACTTGAAGCATTTGGAATGAGACGTAAAAGTTTGCTAACTAGAAAGGTAAGTGCAGTAAAGTAAACCTCTATATTTTTCTAAAATCTTTTTCCCTTACGTTTTTACATGGCTAATGGCTAATCAGCAAGTTTGATACTTTAATTTGCATAGCTTAAAAATTTGGGCAATCTTATAAAAGTACTTAGTATATGAAATTTGTTAAGGCCTAGTTAGGGAATGAATCACTCAGTGTTGTTTTCAGTTTGATTTTATTGGCATTATATAAAGGCAGTTCTCTCCCCTTCTTCCTGGAGAGATTTTGTGAAACACACCCGCTTCATTCTCTACCACAAATCTGGTTGCATGTCAATATAACATTTGACTCACCTATGCAAAAACCAAGTTTGAAAAAATTCCACACTACTGCACTGTTCAGAATTAAGTTTTGCACAGCAAAGACATATTACTTATGTACAGCTGTTAATGTACAGCTGTTAATTTTAAATGGATTTCCTTTCTCCTTTGCAGAAGACTCAGAATTCTTAGATTTGCCAAAAATGCAGGAATGTTCCTTGAAATTCAACAGCTGTACAGTAATAACTTAGACAACTTCTTCTTTTTTTATTTTGATACATCCAAGGAAGATTTGATGTTTAGACAATACGAGCAAATAACTTGGTTGAGAGATAGCAGAGTAGAAACCTGTGGCCTACAAATGCTTTTAAATTATAACTCTGTAGATACCTAATTATTGGTTGTGCTAGTTGGGCCTGTTGACAGTTGTACTTTAGCAATACTTTGGTTTCTAAAAGGTTAGGTCTTTACAGTCATTAAGTATTTATGGGCTTCAACCCAGTGTTTGTTATATGAACTTTTAATTGCAGTTAGAGAGTATTTAAGATTAACCATTTCCTGAACGTTGCGAAGTACTTACTGATCTGGTAGCTCTTAATATTATATTAAACTAGGAATGAGCAATTGGTAGACGTGGGGTAGAAACCAGGCTCCCCTTTTTCAAAAATAATTCCTTGGTTGAAAAAGTTTGGACAAGAATGCAATCTTAAGATTTTCTTTATTTATTTTTTTTACTTTTCACTTTGGGGAGCTTTTAAAGAACGATTCTAGGTGTATTAATTGCACCTATGAAATGATTCATAATTTACTCTTAATTTTTCCAGTAGCCAAAGTTGGTTGTAGGATGGGCAGCTATATAAATGTTTTAAATAAAACAAATGAATATTTATGTCTGGTACCAAAATTCAGAGGAAAATTTTGAACTGCCGGTTGCTTACCCTTAAAGACAATTTGTTTTAATCATGATTTCAATTAACCATTGCCTTGGGGATCAAGTTTACATATAACAAAGTATAAAGAGGTTTACACATAATCAAACAATGAACAGCTATATTACAGGGGCTTTCCATTATCTGTACGTTACCTTTAAAATAGGCACCCAAGTTTGATGTTGAGCTGATAAGAATTATTATAGTGTTTAAAATGTTCAAATTCAGTTACTGTCCCCATTCCTTCTTTCTAACACCCAGTGTTGTTTGAAGTGCCTGCAGTGTTGACCACATCTTGGTTTGATAGCTCAAAATTCCATCTTAAAAAGTCATTCCCCTTTCCCCCCAACAACCAGTTATTCCAGGATCCTCAATGGATCTACCTCTTACTTGGTTATCACTTACATCTGTAATCTGTAGACTTCTATTTGGTTGTATTGTTTCTTTCTGGCTTTATCCTACATCCTTTATATTGAATCTCACGTCTATATTTCCACTTTTCTTTCTATTCATATTTGGGTTCATTTAGTATGACCTGAATTTGTTCTGGTAAGCCCAGGAGAAAAAGTGACTATGCAGTGGACAATGGTTTTAATTATAAATTGTTGAGAGCCCTCAATAGTCAGCAATGTCTTTAATTGAACTAAATGTGATGCCTTTTCATAGAGCTGTAGTCACTACAGGACTGTGAAATATATCAACCTTGAAGCAGGTCTCTCAAATGCGTAATACAAAACAATTCTGTTTTGTTCCAACCTCAGAACAAAGTTTGATCATTTCAAGTATTTCATCTTGAGCAGGGGTAGGCAACCTTGGCTCTTTTATGATTCGTGGACTTCAACTCCCAGAATTCCTGAGCCAGCCATGCTGAGGGAACAGGGAGAGGTTTCCAAGCTGAGCCATGCTGGCTCAGGAATTCTGGGAGTTGAAGTTCACAAAAGAGCCAAGGTTGCCTACCCCTAATCTGGAGTATTGCAATTAAACTTTTGTGTTGAAGCTTACAACTTCTTAAAAAAATACTAATCTAAAAAATATAGCAGGAGGAAGGTTTTTTTCTAATCAAACTCCAGTGTCTGCTCTAATCCTGATGTATGTTTAATATATTCTAAAATAATCCCCTTACAACTCGGTGGAAGTTTAGTGCCTGTTAATAAATAGCAACGTGGATTGTGATCTCACCTACCTTGGTGGCTCTGGAACAAAGGACAAAAAAATGCTTGTTTTGAATTCTCTGTTTTTTCCTATAGCTGGAATACTTAAAATATTTTGAATTTTATTTAGCTGGAATGCAGTCTCACATATCTTCAGGTATTACTGCTTTGTTTTGTGTTTGAAGCAAAATGTTTTGTTTGGTGCGTACTTTCTCATATATTCACTCATTCCATTCATGCCCTCAGTTTAATAATCTCTCAATAGCCCCAGCTGATGTTGCAGTTTACTTTTTAAATTTCTCTGCTTGTATCCTTGGTTCCCCCCCCCAGCCTCTCCCCCCCCCCACTGTTTGAAGTGAGGGTACACTTTCTTGTGCTGAGAGAGAAGATCTTTCTCCAATATTTGCCATCCTGGGAAATATTCTCCCTACATCATTTTCTGGTATTTAGAAGTTTAGCTGGACTTTTAGAAGGACTTTTAAGTGTGATTATAGAATGTGAAATGAGCAACTAATCAGGTACAAGATATTTTCTTTATTTAGGAAAAAAGATTGGCCCCAACAAGAATGTTTGTGAGCTCTATTGGGATCTCTTGGGTCCTATTCACCCTGTTGGAACTGTACAGTACATTCTCCACATCTGGTGTAATAGTATGAGAATAAGAATTAGGAGAATGACCTTAGAAGACAGGAGGAAAAGCTGACCATCATGCAAAAGGAATCTCACTATGCAGAAGGGGGGGGGGAGGATCTTAGAAGAGACTCCTCCCAATTTTGGGGAAAGTAAAAGTAAAGGAGGGGAGAAGGGCTTTCAGACTTGCAAGATTCTGTTACTGTAATTTTCTAATAAAGGTAGTGTTAGTACTCATGGTTGGGGCTTCTTTTCTGGACTACCTCAAAGAGTTGACATCTGGTCTCTATCAGAAGGAGAGTGAGTTTGGCATTTAAAAGATTAAGGGAGAGCCATTATCCATACTTCCTTTTCATTCTCTTTCCAATTATTTATACACTCCCTTTAAGTTGCTTTTTTGCATTTATTGCTAATGTCCCTAATTTTTTTTTAATCTATGATGACTTGATAGCAATGGCTTTAATTGCTTTGCTTCCTGACTCCTTTTTTATTTGACCAGTATAGGGATATATTTGGAAGAATCATACTGAGTTTAATTATCCTAGCCATTCTTTTCAATGTCTCTGCATTGATGTGGATTTCTGTTTCTCTGTGATTGTTAATACCACACACACACTAGTAATCTGGAATAATTACTCTTCATTTAAATTCTTCAATAGCTCACAGAAGATACTAAGTTTTGATTGTGAAAAGTGAAAGGACGCTTGACACAGTCTGCTGTCTTTAATCCTTTAATTGTAAAAAGTTATATGGTTATATTTAGCCATGTTTTCTGTACTTGGTGTTAAGAAATTAAAGTCTGAAGTGCTCATTTTATCTGTTGTACTTCCAATCAGGTGATATGCAAATCAGATGCTCCTACAGGAGATGTTCTACTTGATGAAGCTTTGAAGCACATTAAAGAAACTCAGCCTCCAGAAACAGTGCAGAACTGGATAGAACTACTTAGTGGTAAGACATTTCTGTGAAAATTTAATCTTTCTGAATGCTTTCAAATTTATTTGGACTGCCATTAATTACATCCTAGTGCTGTGATGGCGAACCTTTTAGAGACCGAGTGCCCAAACTGCAACCCAAAACCCACTTGTGCATCGTTGGGTGCCGGGTGGGTGTGGCCCATTGGCTGGGTGTGGCCCATTGGCTGGGTATGGCCAATCGGGTGGGTGTGTCCCATTGGGTGGGCGTGACTGCGGTGGTAACGGTAGGCTGGGTGGGACTAAAAAGTTCAATCAATCAATTCCAACTTTCTAAGATCTTTTTTTTCACTGCGAGAAGTTGAAATTGACTGATTGATTGAACCTTTTTTTTTTTTGGCACACGACGGTGGAGGCCTAAAGTGAAATGGTTTTATAAAACCCAGCTGAAGACCTAGGACTGGGGTGATGGCGCGCGTGCCCACAGAGAGGGCTCTGAGTGCCGCCTCTGGCACCCGTGCCATAGGTTCGCCACCACTGTCCTAGTGTTTAAGGCACAAGTTTTCAAATTCTGTTTTTGGTATATTCCTGCCCATGTGGTTGGTATCTGTTGTCTGGCCATACAATGTTAACCAATTTTCAGTGTTAAAGCATTAGTGTTAATCTTCTAAGATTTGTGGGGTTAATCATTTAAAATTCCCTACAACACGATAATCCATTAAAAAGTATGTATTGCTTTGGTGGGACAGGGCTGTTATGCATGTACTGCTGTGTTCCTAATATTGTATCAGTTTGGATTAGCTTTGCTCACCTGACTCGGTTGATCACTTTTTGCTTTCAAACTATTTGAATCTGGAGATGCTCTTATTATCTTTCCTTTCTTGTTTTTCACAATTTTTATTGTGTACTTGGAGATATTACCATTTTTTTCATGCTTAGAAACTAGCTGTTGGGATGATTATTTTTGAATCTGTTATTTTTTAGTTTCTGTGAACAGAGATAGAATTCAGAAAGGGATTATAACACTCTAATTCAGATTGGAAAATGTCATCATGGAATTTGATACAATGGTTCATACAGTTCATATACGATATTCTTTATTATCCTAATTTTCCCAAAAGCAGGTGAAGACAAACCATTATTAGTGAATTTGAAGAAAGATCCCATCATCACTACTCTTTAATAATTCTCATAGCCTCGTTATGGAAATCGGGGCTCCTTGCTTCCGTCTTTGTCTTCAGTTAAAAAATAAAATTAAAATGTTTTAACTTTGTCTAACCTGGTTCAGAGAAGATGTAATGACAGAATTTAAATGTAGCAGCGACCTGGAGAAGGTGTCTGGCACCTGGAGAAGGCTGCTGGAGGGCCGTGGAAGCATCCCTTGGCCTCAGATCCGGGCGGCAGCAGGAACCATGGGAGAGAGGAGACGGATTTTTTCAAGATGAGTCCAGCACGGCAAGGAAGGGAGGGGGAAGCATGGGGTATCTTAGTGGGTCGGGAAGGCCTTGGGGGCCTGTTCCATCACTAGGCCCTCCATGGCCTTCCCCACCCTGAGATACCTCATATTCACTTAATGCAGCGGTTCTCAACCTATGGGTCGCGACCCCATTTGGGGTCGATTGACCATTTCACGGGGGTCGCCAAGCAAGGCTGTCTGCCATTTTTTTCCCCTTTTCCGGCGGGTGCCTTACCTCCCTTGAGCTGGGCCAGCTGGTGGTCGGCCTGCTCCGTCTCTGCCGCTTGCCAGCTATGCCTCGGCCGGTGCAGGGGGCGGAACCACGCATGTGCGGCGCTCCCAGGCAGGGAAAGTCCTCGACTTACGACCGGTTGGGTAGTCCTCGACTTACGACCGGTTTAGTCCTCGACTTATGACCGGTTGGGGGTCGCGGCATTAAAAAGGTTGAGAACCACTGACTTAATGAGCTGCGTGCATCTTAACAAGAA